AGATCGAGAGGATCATCGCAGACCACATCGGCGAGAACTACATCGAGCCAGCAGCAGAGGAGAAGCCAAATGGCACAAGGAGAGCACGCAAAGAGAAGGAAATTGGATTCTCATACTGCAAGAACCTTAGACAGGATTACTTTGAAAGTGGACAAAATCGCTTCTGCGCCCACTTCAAACATCTTCGAGGAGAAGGTTGGACGTCTGTTTAGAGGAGGCTGGTGTAAGCCGCGAAAAGCAGCAGCAGATGAAGTCTTGACACAGACGGAAATACAGTGCACCGACGCCGACACACAGACTGTTTTGCACCAGCTAGACTTCGCACGCAAATTGAGGCACAACCGCTTGATGAGGAAGAAGATTCGACAAAGGAAGAAGAAAAGGTATCCAACCGAGAAGACTTACCTCCACCTCACTTAGAGTCGGACACTGAAGCCCAAATAGAGGAAAGCGCCCAAATGGAGGAAGCTGAGGAAATCGATCAAATGGAAGAAGCAGAGGAAAGCGCTCAGATAGAGGAAGTTGAGGAAGGCGAAGTGCCAGAAGAAGTCCACGAAATGGATCTGATGGACAAGGTCGGCGAGAGAGATCAGAAGCCGAACCCTGATGATGCGCATGTAACAGAGACAAGCCGAATACGATCTGCGCATGATCACTTTCGAACTCGAAAGTGAACAAACTTGCCTCCCTCGCAGGATCTGGGAACGATACAACTTGAGCACGAACGCATCATGAGATGCGCATCCTGTAAAGCTGTGAGAGCCATTACTCCGATTCATGTCCCGTCATCAGCGACGTAAACAGACAGAAGGCGCGCACTTAAGGAGCAAAGGAAATGCGAGAAGATATGTCTGGAAGCCTACTGCAGCGGGTACTGCAGAAAGTACAAGACTTTCTGCTCCCATTGCAGGCGATACGGCCATCATCCGACCATATGCAACCTATGCATATGGCCATATGCATGTGATATTCGCGATCCTTTTAAACTAAGGCGATATAGTTTCCCATGCTTATCAAGCACAATCTCACATTCGAAGCGGAAGCTGTACGCTTGTCACAACTTTGTTGTTATCTATGCTTCCATCTTTACAAAATGTTGTTTGTGCGCCGAACCGAGCCTCGACCTATGTATAAAAGGAGAGGGTCCGCGAGCGGAGCCCAGATGCTGCATTGCCACTCCAAGTAAGCGTTTGCATTTGCGCAGTTTTATTTTATTATTTTTGCATTTTATGTATGCGCCTTCAACTCATGTTTTATGCTTGTAATGCGCGCCTTTATAATAGTGCCTTTCTTGTTTATATTATCGCCATCATTATGCATTCTATACTTTGATGTAGTTTAATTACCCAAGTATGAGATAAATCGTACGTCTTATTGGTGTCTCATGCAGTCCAACTCGAACGATCCACTGAACCACAAGTTTACTATATGCTCACATAGTAAAACGGTCATTCACCAATCACGGACATTTGTGAGGCAATTGTAGCATTATCGTAACGATCAGACATTCCGTGCATGGATAAGTGATACATTGATAAGAATGTTTTGAGAACATGCTCTATTGTAATGTTG